GAGACATCTTGGGAAATAGCATTTTGGATTAGTCGCATCATGGTAACAGTTTGGTGGACTGCAAAGATCATAATTCTGTCAAAAGCTTCTTTCGTATTTCTGTAAAACACTGCATAATCATTTAAGCCGATGAAAGGCAATTCTATCGTGTTCTATAAGGTATGAGAAGGCTACGATAAATTTAGGAAGCAATGAATCGAGGGGTATTTGCTTTGTGCTTTCCTCATGCTTTTTTTTCATTTTATGCCCATAATTAGTCTCGCCATAGTATAATTTTTTTCCCACTTTTAGCTTTTATTTTAGCCTCCAGCAGGTTTATTCTACCCAGCCGCAGATTCAAGTGTAAATACTATGCCACCAAGTGAGGCAAGAATCTTGAAAGCGGTTGGAAGATTGTTAAAAAACCTTCAGATATCACTTCCCAGTTAAAGAAACTGTTATAATTCCATCGTGTTGACGGCTAAGCAAAGCAAGTCGGCAACATCAAACAATTTTTACGATAACATACGTAACTGTAGCAATCACCTGTACATATTATCACAGCTTTTGTCACAATGTCTTTCTGGGCCACACATCACATGATATTCGCGGATGCTACAGTATGCGGCATGCTTTTCGTTACGAGCTGGATAGTGTGGGATTTGGCGATGGAGCTAAAAAAAACACACATTAAAATAGCGATAAATAACCATTACATATAGAAAAAGATATGGTAAAGTCAGTAATTTTTCAAAAACTGAGGGTGATTATCTAACAGTGCTAATGAATGAAGGAGGTGCTCAAGTTGTAACTCAAATCTTTAGAATTGAGGCTTTATTCTTATTCAGATCCAATGATTTGAACTGAAGAAAATATTTTGAACTGTAAACACAAGCAAGAAATTTTTATTGGTAATTTAGAAATAAGAGATGTTCTATTAAGTTATAGCCAGTATCTCGCGAATAAAAGCATTATTTCGCTTCTAAATTATCAAGGCTTTATTAACGATTACCAAATTCTTAGGATAGATAAAATAAATTAAAATAATCTTGGAGATAATAATAAGGAAACTTTCCGGAAACTACAACTGCTTTTTCCATGATTTCCTTCTGACAGCAAATGATACAATTACCCTTATGCCTGTTTTATGAATATTTTTCTCCAAAATTAGTGAATCTAACTAAGAAAAATGGAAAGAAAAGTGAACATTGCCTCAATTACAAACAGTGAAGGCATTTTCGATTCTGAGCGCTAAATGAACTTCATTCTTCTTGCGTAAATTCTAAGAAGATATGGATTTCTGAAAGATAAAAAATTTGTATAATCATTAAGCAAATATCAAAAAATTGAACAGTTTGGCCAATTTCATTGATAATAAGCAAAAATTTGGCGAGATATCCTGTCAGTTAAAACTAAAATAGTTTCTTGTATGATGACTGACTGTGAAATTTGCTCCATCTTCAGTGTTCCTCTTTCATGAAAGTTCCTTTTTTTGGTGTAAGTACTGCGAATTTCTAATTCACTGATCCTGATAACAATCTCCATCTCCAAAATATTCAATCTTGCAAAACGG